TACGTTAAGCGTTTTCCCATCCATTGACGCCCATTATAAGAAAAAGGCTTAATGTAATTTAAACTACCAAGAAAGCCACCAAAAATCACCAACCTTCTCACACATATATCTGGTCATATACACTTTCCCCTCACAAAATATCAAAACCGAAATACAAGGAATATGGACTTTATTTTACGTTAAGCGTTTTCCCATCCATTGACGCCCATTATAAGGAAAAGGCTTAATGTAACTTAAAGTACCAAGACAGCCACCAAAAATCACTATATTTCTCACACATCTGGTCATAAAGACTTTCACCTGACAAAAAATCAAAACCGAAATACAAGGAATATGGACTTTATTTTACGTTAAGCGTTTTCCCATCCATTGACGCCCATTATAAGGAAAAGGCTTAATGTAACTTAAAGTACCAAGACAGCCACCAAAAATCACTATATTCCTCACACATATATCTGGTCATAAACACTTTCCCCTGACAAAATATCAAAACCGAAATACAAGGAATATGGACTTTATTTTACGTTAAGCGTTTTCCCCTCCATTGACGCCCATTAAAAGGAAAAGGTTTAATGATTAATTTATTAAGAAGCGGCGAGAGAGTGACTAAAAAAAACGGATGCTGAAAAAAAGTGAAGAATTTGATTAGTAGAAGCAAAAATACAAAGAAAAGTGAAGAATTGAAATCAAACTCCAGGGGGAACCCTGATACACTCAAACAAAATTTGGGACAGAGTTAAAATAAGATTTAAAATAAGTTTACAGAATATTCAAGTAATGCCAGTTTGGAAGATTGGCAGGTGAGGTATCATGATTGGGTATAAAAGTATCACCCACCAAAAGCCTCTTTGTGCCAACAGTCGTGAGAGAATTGTTAGTCAGCTCAAACAGAACACAAGATTGCATAGAATTTAGGTCTTTCAAAATCTACAGTATATAATACTGTGAAAAGACTGAGGAATTTATGAGACCTCTCAGTGTGTAGAAGGAAATGTCTGAAACCACTGTTGAATGTTCATGACCTTTGAACCCCCGAGAAGCCGTCATGCTGTGACGTATTGCCACGTGGGCTTGGAAGCACTTTGGAAAACCATTGTTGCTTAACAGTCTGCCGCTGCATTCAGAAATCCAACCTGAAACTGCATTATGCAAGGAGGAAGCCATACATCAACTCTATGCAGAAATGCCATCGAGTTCTCTGCATCCAAGGCCATCTCAGATGGACCAAAACACAGTTGAACCATGTGCTGTAGTCAGATGAGTCCACGTTTCAGCTGGTTTTCGGGAAAATCGGATGGCAAGTTCTCTGTTCCAAAGAAAACGACCATTGTTATCAGTGAAAGGTACAAAAGCTAGGGTCTGTGATGAATGGGGGTGATCAGTGCGCACAGCATGGGTGAACTACGTGTGTGTGAAGGTACCACTGATGCGAAGGCATATATCGGGATTTTAGAGAGACATGTTACCATGTTGCCAGGCCTTATTCTGTATGGGCTACAACCACGTGGCTCGTAGACCCAGAGTTTGTGTGCTTGACTGGCCTGCTGCAGTCTCCTATTGAAAATGTCTGGTGCATCCTGAAGAGGAGAGTCAGGCAACGGCGGGCACAGACTGTTGAACAACTGAAGTCTTTTATCAAGCAAGAATGGGAAAAAATTCCAATAGCAAAACTGCAGCAATCCGTATCCTCAATTACCAAACGATTGAAAAGTGTAATTAAAAGGAAAGGTGATATAACACGATAGTAAACAGACCTCTGTCCCAACTTTTGCTGAGTGTGTTGTAGGCATCAAATTCTAACTTTGTTTATATTTACAAAATACTATTCAGTTTGTCAATAAAGATATTGACAATCTTTTTTTTGTAATTTTGTTCTCATGAATTAAATGACACATTTTTGTTTTATTACATTTTGCATTGTTTGTTGCATCCCAATTTTTATGGAAATGGGATTTGTACAGTCATGTGCCACATAACATTTTGGTTAATGTTGGACCTCGTACACGATGGTGGTCCCATAAGATTATACTATAATGGAGCTGAAAAATTCCAGTCTCCTAGTGATGTTGTAGCAAAATGCATTAGTTACGTGTTTGTGGTTTATGTGTTACTGTACTTTTTATTGTTATCTTAGACTTAGTGTACTCTTTCTACTAATAAAAAAGTGCACTATAGCCTAGGTGTGTAGTAGACTCCACGCCGTGATGTTTGCACAATGGTGAAATCACCTACAGACACATTTCTCAGAATGTATCGGCGTCGTTAAGTAACGCGTGACTCTAAATATTTGAACCCATGTGTGTGTGGAACACTGAGGGAAAGATTACAACAGTGTTATGTTAATTTACTAATATATGTAGCATTCTATATTTAAACACTGCATTTTACATTGTTTCCTATCATAAATTAGAAATACCAATATAAACATACATTAGCCTAATAGTTGGCTTACCAAATTTTATAAATGTTATTACCAAACTAATTGAATACCACGTGGAAAAAAGCTGATAGTGTTCAATTACGTATTTTCAGAACACAGACTACAGGCAAATATAACCGCATAATTTGTATTGGGGCCCTAAATTAGCCTGGGCCAAGGCTGATTGGGGACTGCAGCCTTTTTGTAGTATTTTGTATTATGTTACATGATAAATATTTGATCTAATATTTGATATTTTGACTAGTCTTCTACAGTACATTTTTAGCAAAAATGCTTTTAATTTTTTGTTACAGAGGCTGCTCTCCAAAAATTCCAAGACGAGCTTCTGTTTAAGCTGAAAAGAGAATTCAGACGTATCTTTTAAGGGAGAACATCAGAAGGCACTCATCTTGAAACCTTGCTATGGTACAGCGTGCTCTAGCCTCACAACACCAACTGAGGCAAACAGACACAGAGCCCCTGTAAGTGAAACTACATGGCAGTCCATTCTCTAGTAATCCAGCTTCACTAGGAAGAACTCAATCATGCACTGAATCAAGTTGTGGGGTTTAAAGATAACAATTTCATTTTCAATGAAATAATTGTGAATATTTTTGATTAATAAATATCAAATACTGTAAGCTTATTTAAAGGCATTGATACTGCAATTTCTTTCCCACAAGATACTACATTTAAATGATACAATGTGAATGTAAATAAATCAATTTTATATTATTAAAGTAAGAAAAATTAATAATTAAGTTTACACACCAGTCCCAAGTCTCACACGCTAAGCAGCTGGTTGTGTGTCAGTGTTATCGATGTGCCAATTGCTTGGTAATTTGTCTAGATTTTTTTTTTTTTAAAAAGTATGCCACCCTTTGTATCTTTCTGTCATGTCTATAGTGCAAAGAAGGAGATGTGTGAATACTGCTCATAATAAAATCCGTTAATAAATTGGGTTTAGTGCATAATTGTGTCTCAGTGTGTACTCTCCCATAGACTGACATTGCATCCAGCATGTCCAGTACCTTTGCTTTCCAGAGACAAGCTCCAAACCCACAATGAAACTCCACTGCATCCGGACTGAAACACCATTTAATCCAGACCACACTAAATCTATTAGGGGGATGGCAGTGGACCCTGGCTTTCTTTTGCTGATGTAATTTGGACTTTGGGAAAAATAATTGTGTACCCCTGGTTCAGCAGTTAGTGAAACGGCTGGATGGATTTTATTGTCCACAACACCATTATACAATATTGTTACAATATAACAATCAGTTTTGATTTAAGCAAAACTTTTGCAATTTTATTTATTCAGCAGATGCTTTTGTCCAAAGCTACATACAATTGTGATAGCAGGTCATACAGTGCCTGGAGCAATTTAGAATTAAGGGCTTTGCTCAAGGGCCCAGCGGTGAAATCATTCTGCCGACCATAGGTTTTGAACAGGTAACCTTCCGATCATGAACACAGAGTCGTAACCCACAAAACCACCCCAAAAAGAGAAATGAGATCATATGAATAGTTGTCTATGCTGAAGAACAGTCTGCCTTTTATACTGTGTACTCAGAATAAAGAAGGGAATTCAACATAAAGAGGAATACAGGGAAATTCCTTCTGCTCTGAAGGGAAGACGGAGGTCAGCTAATACAAGACAGCATACGTCTGTCAATATCCACTACACCAATCAGAGAATGTCTGCTCTGTGTCCAACTCAATTCTAAACTGCCAATTATCCTGTTAATAATCATTTTCACACTGTCAGCAGGAACAATCAGCTGGGACCTAACGCACTTCTGTGTCATTGGCCAGACCCACACAGGGCTTCCTAGCTTCAGAGCGCCACATGAGGCAAGCAGACCCTGTCGGTGGAAATCGCCAACTCACTGAAGGCTGATTGCTGGCTAAACTGGGCCCGTAGTCTATTGCACCAGGTGTCCAGGGCACTTTGGGTCTCTGATACCAGCTCCTCTGGGATGCTGAAGGAATACAGGCAGCAACGGTTGCCCCTGGCAACAGCCTCCCAGCATGCAGTCACGCGGATCACTTGTAGAGGCACCATGCCCAAGCAGTTTTCAGCATTGTGGATCAGGTCAAACCAGTATACGGCAGGATAGCCCAGAAGAATCCCAAACAGGGAGCAGAGGTTCCAGCTGGCGCAGGTTTGTGTATCAACCACGCAGATCAGAGGGTCGTCTGACATCAATGTCCTGAGGCTGTCCAACACACCCCTCACAGATGCCTCCATCCCGCTCAACCTGAAATCGGCTGTTGCTGGCTGAGCATTTCCCCAAGACACGTCCATTAAGACAACAGTGTTTTGTCGCAGCAGTTCCTCCAGGCTCAGGATGCACACATCCAGGTTAATAATAATTACGTTACCGTCCATCACCAGAAGGTGCAGCGCTTTGCTGACACGGCCAGCCGCCTGGAGGCACCGTAAGTAGTGCTGTATCTGACTGGGCTCGGCGGAGTTCAGGTCGTACAGCAGCGCTGGTTTCAGACCAAGGTCCACAGCCTGTATTTGGGCGGCAAGGCTCCGACACTCGCACATCGACAGGCATTTTCTCTTTTTCCCCGAAGCCAAACACTGCCGCGCCACGGACACGAAGAGGTCCGGTACTGCTGGCTGTGACATTGGCGACGATCCACTACGCAGGGGGGGCAGGAGACCGTTTCATCAACAGAAATCTGAATCTAAATGTCATTTATATATAAAAAAAGAAGCGTTAATCTGGGCTTCCGTGCGCGGTTGCAATGCACGTGTATTCAGTTCACGGGACAGCTAGTGCAATTAGACGAATAAGCATAAAAGCGTAAAGGTTGTGTTACTCTTATCATGTCCGCATCATTGCAGCCTATGCGAGCTTCACTTCCTTCTTTATTTCCGCACATCTCCGCACGTTAAAAAAGTACCTTGAGAATATAAAAACCATAGTGAATGAATAAAATGTTTGCCATGACATCCGGGCTTCTTACCGTGTTATTTCTGTTCACTTAAATGTGACTTTGCACTGAAAACTGCAAAATCTCGTCAATTACAAATGAAAAATAAACTTATTTGAATGTGCAACAACACGGACTAATTTTACTAAATCATAGCCAACGTAATACTAAAAATACTGGTGTTTCATCTTATAACTCCGCTGTAATCATCTAGGAAACTTGTAAATTACTTGTTTAATTATACCAGAATAGAAATCTTAAAATCTCACTTGTCAATACTATGGTCAATACGCTGGCAATAAAGCACATTCTTCTTTGACGGTTTAATAGGGAGAAGTTGCAATGCTTCCCCCTGCTGTATCGGGGGTGAACTGCGACAAAAACCGAAGTGGACCTTCACCTGTGTTTTTTCTCCTTTAAAAAGTTAATCAGAATCTACTGTACGGAGCCCGGGAGGGGACATGGGAGGAAAAAAAAAGATAAACATTTGCGAGATCTCGCAAAACATTAATAACTGTGCCGTGTCCGTTTGAAATACAAAAGATGGAATTTTGGCCTATTTGAGATTGTGGATTTGAGTTTGGGATTTACTGTGTGAACGTGTTCGGCCCATACTTTGTGGGATCAGCTCCAGGCTCACTTTCACCCTTCAGTCAATTTGCCATGATTATGTTTGTAATCATGCCTTTGTGGGGACTCTCCATTAATTTCGATTGGGAAAGCCCTAATTCCAACAATGACAACCTTAACCCCTACCCAGCTCTAACCTTAACCACAAGTAACCTAACAAAACAACACTTTTGGCATTTTAGTTTTTTTTTTTTTATTACAATTACATATTTTTATAAAATTGACTTTTCCTGAAAAAATTGTCCCCACACATTGCAAAATTACAGGATTTTCACAATGGGGGGACATTTGGTCCCCACAATATAATTTATACATGACCACACACACACACACACAATATGGGACAGCTCATACATCTTCATAATCCATAATCAGCTGATAACACATAAATACGATATAAAAGTGTTGCTAAAGGAGGACACTTACAAAATCCATCACCTGTACATGTACATCCATTATAAGCCAGTAATAACATTGGCAGATGCTCTTCATATTTGTGTGGAACCCAGGAGAGTGATAAGTTGCCTATTTGTAAAATTGGGTGGGAGGGAGTGGGGGCTTTGGTACAACAGGGCTAAAATATCCCCAGCAAGTGCAATAAATAAGATTATTAGTAATATTGGGTGCCAGGGACAAAAAATCTATATTTCCCCTTCTTTTTTGGACATGACTGGGTTGGCAATGAACTGTCCAGGGATGTATGTCCACCTGATGTCTGAGAAAAAGCCTATGACTCTCTAAAGCAGATTGCTAGGTGTAGTATATGGGGGAGATAAATAACATCACATACTTTACATTCCTGCTTCCAAATAGTAGTTTCTTTAATAAATGCAGTGTTTTTATAATTCAGGATCTAGTAAGTCCAGTGTCTGTGTGTCCAGGAGAAAGCGTCTGTGTGCCCAGGAGAAGGCCTCTGTGTGCCCAGGTGAAAACGTCTATGTGCCCAGGTGAAAACGTCTGTGTGCCCAGGTGAAAACATCTGTGTGCCCAGGAGAAGGCCTCTGTGTGCCCAGGAGAAGGCCTCTGTGTGCCCAGGAGAAAGCGTCTGTGTGCCCAGGAGAAAGCGTCTGTGTGCCCAGGAGAAAGCGTCTGTGTGCCCAGGTGAAAACGTCTGTGTGCCCAGGTGAAAACGTCTGTGTGCCCAGGAGAAGGCCTCTGTGTGCCCAGGAGAAGGCCTCTGTGTGCCCAGCAGAAAGCGTCTGTGTGCCCAGGACAAAGTGATGCCACACGAGCGCAGCCACCAGCCAGTAGGTGAACAGCATTGTCAAGCACTGGAGTTTGGTCGCCTTCAGGGCAGGAAATGAGGAAGTGATGCAGGTGTGTTAGTGTCATAGAGAAATAATAAGAATGCAAACAGATGAGTTTAAATTCTGTCTCTTTATTCTTGAGCAAGGGTTCTCATACTGATAGTCATGACCTAATTAATTGGAGTGTCCAATAAGCTGTTCACTTTGTACGAATAATACATGCATGAGCAATATATCTGTAATTTTTTAGCCATGTTCCCTTCCTATGACCAGCCATTTGCATGAGTTATTTGTTTCTGCCTAGTTGTCCCTCTGTCCTTCTTAGGTTCATCCTTCGCTCATTAAAAAAGAAACCAGCCCTGCCAAAATACAGATGATGCTCCCTTTGAATTCATTCCATAGTTTCCCAGGTTTGAGTGGCCAGGTTGGTTGGTCTCCCAAGGTGCATCAGCTGACCACAGGACAGACCTACTGTATCAGCACATTCCCTTTCCCGCCAACCATATGGGTCAATGGAGTGACGCATTTTTTTGTTAAATTTAACTGTGGAAAATAAACTGATAAATTACTTGCATGCATACTTTTTTTGAAGATCTACTCTAAAAATTGTGATTTTAATTGATTTTGAGACTCAATGTGGTGTAAACATTAAAACTATGTACCAAATAATTAAAGTTGCTTTAAAGTGGTGAAATTCTCAATTAAACACCCTTTCAACTACTCTGGGATAATCTTACATTATAACAATTTAACAGAAAATAAACATAGCAGAACACCATTGTTCTGAATATTATAATTTATTTAGGAAACATGTTAGTCAGGTCAACTGCCTGAAATGTCAAGGTGGTGTAACCACCATTCAAGGAGCCATTTTGTTCATATTGTGCAAGAAGACCCTGTGACAGGAAATGATATCACAGAGACAAACCCCTGATGACCATAACTGCTGCATGCCAAGGTTAGCAACTGTCTAAAAAAATCTGATAAATTTGAAAATTTTGCGTATAGTCAGGAATGTCTAGAATTACATGTCAAGTGTTATGACTCCAGGAAAACTTTTTCAATTCATCATCATAATAAAAATTAGTATTTACTTTCAAAATTATGTTTGAAACATGACCTTGGTGTGAATGTTTGAAACATAATTTTGAAAGTAAATACTCATTTTTGTTTTAGGTCCATGATAATGCTTATGGAATTTGATTTTAAATTGAAATTCACACATCATTCACACATCATTAGACTTATATTACCATCCTTTCTGTTTGAGGCCAATTTGTCAAATATCAGTAGTTTATGGAGCTGATTAAAGATGTAATATAAAGTAACATACTATGTGGAACTACTGTGGTACCTCAGAACTCAAAATTAATCTGTTCAGAACTCGGGTTCAAATCCTAAAATGCTCGAGTTCTGATTGAATTTTCCCCATAAGAAATAATGGAAAACCAATTAATTGGTTCCCGGCCCCCAAAACTTACACCTAAATATTTTTTTTTTAGCATTTAAACACAAAATGAACAGGATAAAACAAGAAGAGCATATACTGTACTAAACACATCTAAGCACATTTATCAAAACAGTAATTTGTAAAGTAAGAAAATAAATGTATCCAAACAATGTGTAAAGTTAAAAAACACTGTGCACCAACACTGTACACTGTGCGTAACATTTATTTTGGCTTCCAAAACAATAAAGAATGTACCCCAACACTACCCCAAGCCATGCCCCAGCACTGTGTCAACACTAGACTATGCCATGCAGTCCATTGTTTATTTTTATTATTACTCTGTATTCGTTAATTTGTTCATAAATCGCAAACTTTTTGGTTGTAACATTTGAACAACTATTGCATAACTTTTTGGTGAGCAATGACTACCAAAATGATATAAAGTACAGTGTATTACCTGATATTTTCAATAAAAAAAGCTGAGACTGAAGCTTCCTTTGTTTCCGCTGAGAGACGTGCCGCGTGATTCATTTCCCCGCGCGTACAAGTTATCTTAGGTTGGCGTTCACGGTTTGACTAGATTCAGATCGAGTTCTAGATTGGTTGGTTCGGCTTTTAAACTCAAGTTCTAATGAGTTCGAGTACTGAGGTACCACTGTTATATATCAAGTGTTCATTGTTATGTGGGTGAACAGTGACTGCTAAACAAGATCAACAGCACTGAAAGACCTAAAATTCTGATAATTCAATGATAGGAGAAATGTTACTCAAAAATTAAAATTTGCATATCTAAAATAAAATTTATTAAATTTCTGCTATTTCACAATTAATTAACTATAATAGATCTTCTTTTCCCCTAATAGGTGCCACTTTTAAGCAAGAAAAAGTGGCTCATCACAGAGCACAAGTGAACATTGATCCTGTTGCAATTACCTTGCCAAAAGGCATGAAAGTTAGTTTACATACACTCAGTTACAGACACATGGACAGGCATACAGACGGACAGAAGTTCACACGAATACAATGACACAGACAGAAACACACAGACAAATAAACAGATGTGTTTTTACCCTGATTCATTGTTGCTGGATATTTTTTTTAATGAAAATCAAGACTGAAGTCATGATTCTCAACTGGAAAAAGGTGGTTAGGGATGAGTTAGGAATTTAAATATCTCATGGTCTTCTGCATGAGTGACTGAAGAAGGGAGCGAGAGATGGACAGGCGGATCACTGCAGTGTCAGCAGTAATGTGGTAGCTGTACTGTTCTTTCGTGGTACAAAGAGCTGAGCCAGAAGGCAAAGCTATTGCTTTACTGGTCGGTCTACATTCCTACTGCTATCTATGGTCATGAGGTAGTGACCGAAGGAATGAGATCACGGATACAAGAGGCAGAAATGAGTTTCCTCCATAGGGTGTCTGGGCTCAGCCTTAGAGACAGGGTGAGGAGCTCAGACGTTCAGGAGGGGCTCAAAGTAGGGATGCTGCACCTCCGCATCAAAAGGAGCCAGTTAAGGTGGTTCTATCTATCTAGGATGCCTCCTGGACGGCTCCCTGGGGAGGTGTTTCAGGTATGTCCATCTGGGAGGAGGCCCTGCAGCAGACCCAGCACACGCTGGGGATATTATATCTCTGGGCTGGCTTGGGAGTGCCTTGGTATTCCCCTGGAGGAGCTGGCTGGGGAGAGGGAGGTCTGGGCATCCCTGCTTTGACCGCTGCCCCCATATAAGTGGCAGAAAATGGATGGATGGATGGATGAAATCATGGATGAAGTAGAAGACATGAATTCACAGTTCTTGCTGTTAGATGTTTTTTCTACATTGAAGCAAAATAAAACACCAAGTTCAGTTGACCTTGTTGACTGTCATGCTTGATTTTCAGTTTCAATTTCTTCAACAAATAATGACCTTTGACTGTAGAAACACCATGGTTAAGTGGTTAAGTGGTGTAACTAGTTTGTATCAACTGGCAGTATTTTGCAGCAAAATATAATATGCAAGAAAACACGGAACAAAATGTGATGCTCTATTGCCATGTGTTATGTTACGCGGTGCAGGTGAGCAGGAAAGCAGGCAAGCTGAGCCGGACTGACAGGCAAACGAGGTTTATTGCTTACGGACGGGCAGGCAGGGACAGGACCAGGCACTACATCAGACAACGTCAATGACAGAACTAAGGAAGACAGGTACAGACGCCGACTAAATACACCAGACGGATAGGAAAGCACAAGGAACAGCTGATGACAATCGGGTAGCCACACGAGGTAACGAGGGTGGGCGGGGCACACACGAGGATCGGACGAGCTGGGCACAACACCATGTAGTAACATGGTTGTTTTAATCATTTTTTACATAATTGGTCAAAGAAGACGGAGATGTTTTCAACATATGTTCACTCAGTATCGCAGAAATGCATAACATTTAAAAGATAATCTCAATAAAATTAAAATGTTATTTTAAAATGAAGTAATTACTTATACAAGTACACTTCCACACTAGTACACACTAGGTGGATTAAATATGTAATATTTCTCATTCTTTAGTGGTTACACATTTGACATTTTCATTTGCATTCAGTCTCACCTTTTTAAAAAAATGGTGTGAATGTCATTTCAAATGACATGAAACCAACATGAATACAAAATTTACATTTTAGCAAACCTGCTAACCTTTACTCTGACCCATATGATACAAAATTTCCACATTAGACAAACGGTCATCCCTGAAACAGGATTATTGTCCTTTTAGGAACTTGAGTAGGTAGAACCTGCAGTGAACAGCAGAAGCGCTAACTGGATTTATGCCTTTTTCAAACTGGTCTGGCCTCTCGACACAAATAATTCCAGTAAAGTGTATACAACTTGTTAAACTATAAATACAGCATTTAAAGTTAACTCCATTAAAGTATTTTAGAAAAGTATGTAGCAAATATGAAAAGCGATTCTAGTCAAATCTTTGGGCCTTCTTAATATTTTAACGATTAAACCTCAAGATCAGATAACAAAACTGTTTCCATATTGCTAACAGAATGAAACACCACAAGCCAGACTATTCAGTATATACAGAGGTGAATAGTTCTGGTCCAGAAAGCAAAAATCCAGACCAAGATTTTGTTTCAACCAACTCACAGAGAACTCAGCTGATTGGTTGAAACAAAATCTTGGTCCGGATTTTTGCTTTCTAGACCAGAATTATCCACTACTGAGTCCACATTCGCCTTTTCACACTCAAACAATAATGACAGAAGCATACTGCCCACCATCATGAATGTTAAAATATTATCATCAGTTCACCTTAAGTCCGTTATTTAACTTACCTCAGGTTATAAGGAATATCCCTGCCTCTGTATAAGAGAAAGTGAAGAGCAGGTAGGTACAGATTCTTTAGAAATAGATATAAATGGTTTTTCCTGCATACCTGGAAGTTCAGCACAAGTTCAACAGCATCTTTTTCTCAGGGGATACCTTGTATCTGGTTGGCTAACTGGCGTGACCATGTGTACGCAGCAGATGAGCAGCTCTCAGTGTGTAACACACTGACTGTGTAACACGCTGACTGTGTGGCCTCGCTGTATTGACAATATGGATCCAAGAAATAAGTTCTCCTAAAAAATGTCATTTTTAAAGTCTAATCTAGTCACATGGCATCTTTGTCCAAATATGCCAGTTAGGTCCTATATAAAATAAAATTGTCAATGAAATTTCCAATAAACCTGGCATTGTGGATTGGATTTTACAGTGTTCCTCTAGTTTCTAAATTAGTTAATTTTTCTATTGGGGATGTATTATGACAACACTTTTTGGCTGCCATTCATGGCTTTGTAAACGGCTTTGTAAGGGGGAAAAGGAAATGTTTATTATTTGGTTAGCTGGTTGACTTCTTGGACATGTATTTAATCTAAGATCAGTGTATTTGGGGAAACTTGGAGTGTTTTTTTGCTTGGTCTCCTGTATTTTGGGTTCTTGAATCTGTATTGACATCCAAGATTTTGAATGCTCCACTTTGAATTTCTGGTTGATGATCACCGTGTGAAAACCAGCTTTACTAAGGAACATAATAATCATTTTGGAGATCAAAATTAATCAACTTTAATTTGCTATTGTACTCTTAGCAGCCTTTGCTGAATAGCTAAAAAATAAAGAAGAAATCCCAAAATTTGTGCAAGTTCAGGGTTCCATGCTGAATATCTCTTAAAAGGTTTTTGTTTGGATGATTGGGTCTGTTGCTAAATACCCCATGCAGGCATATAGTATACAGAATGGTTGTCGAATGTGGACGCTGACTATTCATAGAAGGGCATTTCAAGCTTAGAAGGTGAGAAGGGTTATATAAGGCCTTTGTGATTCATTGGATTTAGCAAATGTTGTGCATGAAATGACATGCGTATGTCCCTGAATATCTTGTCCCTATTTAAATCTCTCAAGTTGTTTTTATCCTAAACTATGATAAAATATGAATTAGAAGAAACATTATTTTTATACATACTTCACAGGTAACACAAGTGCATAGTTTATTTAATGTAAAAACAACAAAGATATTTTAAAAATAAAATTATGTTCACAGAATTTGGAATTAAACCTACACAGAAAAAAAAATGTTTTGGCAACAGTACACAAGTGGACAGTTTACTACAGATGACAACCTGATAATCTATGACTATAATCCTTCTTTATCTAGAGAACCTGATGCACCTCGGAGGCAGGAATAAATGTACCTTATAAAATACTCTCTCAATCATCTGCCTAAATCCTTTCTTTGGCCGTTCTTTGGTATTTACAGCACTGAAGGATCACTCAGTGTTTTAAATATCTGTGTTCCTTGGTATTGCTTTTGGTACAATGCAGAGATCACTGTTTCTCACTTTCCAGGGCCGTGCTGTCACCTCCAATTTCTAGTGTTTTTCAAGACCTATCTAATTATACTGCCAATAGAGAATTTAGCTACCTGTACTCTACACAAGCATATCAAGTCTATCTCTACCCATCTGCATATACCCCCAGTTTATAATATCTCTTAAAAGATCTACATACAGTACTATGGCTATTTGCTCTCACCTGTATTTAACACAATCTTTGTAATCTTTACCTGCATAACCTTCTATCCAAGCACACCTTTTCCTGGAGAACTAGCATCTTTTTTCCTGAAAGAAACCTTCAGTGAGTTCACAAGTTAATATCTACACATTAAAGAACTTTTTTCCTGGAAGAAAATTTTACCCATTGGATATTGACAGTTGGACCAAATATTTTGATGGAATTTTGGTTTGATGGCAGATATGAGTGCTGTACCCTGAGAGACTGTGACAACAAAACTTCAGAATCTCTGAACTACAGTTGATATAGGGAATAGATTATGCCACAGCCATATTTGTGGCTATATCTCAGATGACGTTCACAGTGAACAATTCAGATGGGAATCACCAGTGATGTATGTGGCTATGGAAACAGGCTGTGTTAGTGTCAAGGGCTGTTGCACACAGCTCACTGATGAATCACCATAACTCCTGTTATTATCTCTCTGGAGGCTAATGGGTTATGACAAGAGCTCAGATTTGTAATCTGGGATGAACTAAAACCATGTACAGGGTTCTGGGTGCCAGTGCAAGAATTCAAGAGACGGGGAAAGACAAGCGAGGAACTGTGTGTGTTTCAACTCCATAGCAGAACATCTTTACCTGCAAAAGCACCTTAAACATCACAACAAAAAGTGGAAAAAAGGGATTTCTGGCTGGAAATGCCTGCTGGTGCATTGTCTGAAGTAATCTGGAGAGTCACAAACTGAAGAGAAAAAAGTGCATATCAAAGAGCAGTAGCCTTCTCACCTGTAGATTAGGCTGAATGCGACTTTAACAGTCAAGATACTTCGCAGTTTCGGTATGGAACGCTGATCAAATAAATTATCGTAGAAGAAGCTTCCAGAGGCACGCAATGGGTCAGCGGCTGAGCGAGGACTCGAACGCGGACAAGGAGATCGATGTGGCCGAGCTGCAAGAGTGGTACAAGAAGTTTGTAGTGGAGTGTCCCAGCGGCACGTTGTTCATGCATGAGTTCAAGGGTTTCTTCGGTGTCTCGGACAATCAGGAAGCGGCCAGTTATATTGAAAACATGTTCCGTGCGTTTGATAAGAACGGGGTAAGTTGGCGCTCTCCTCTACCACGTAATTACATTTTAGAAAGTAATATGCAAAATAAACATTCAAAAAATCATTCTTCAATTTCCCATCTTCTGAACCACTCATTAAACAAATCAATATAATAAAAGTAAATAAATTTAATTTTATGATACATTACCTACGGATAGGCCTACGAGGTATATTTTGCAATATTTTGCAATATTTAAAGACCACTTTTGTGCTACCTTCAACATTTCAAAGGATTACTGACATTGAAAATGTCACAATTAGAAGATTCATTTTCTTTGTTCTGCCAACTGAATTATGCCTATAGCACTTAACTATGTATCTAATATTACCATACAAATATTTACACCAAAGACTATCCCAAAGACTGTTAATAAATCTATGCTACCTTTTTCTTATACTTGTATCAGATGATAAGTGACGGTTTCCTTCTATTTCCTTTGCAGGACAACACCATTGATTTTTTGGAGTACGTGGCGGCACTGAACCTGGTCCTGAGAGGCAAGCTGGAGCACAAGCTCAAGTGGACCTTCAAAATGTACGACAAGGACGGGAGCGGCTGCATCGACAAGACGGAGCTGCTTGAGATCGTGGAGGTAAAAGCTGCATGAAGACATTTGTCATACCTATCAGTTCGCGCAGTCCAGACAAATAAATTAAGTCCATTTTCACCAAAGTTGCTTCAATACCGATATTCTCGGTCTCTTTTGAAAACGCAGGTGTCTGTCCGTCTGTATGCCTGAATTTATACCTCGTGGCACCCAGGGAGCTGGGCGTTAAGGGCCTTGCTCAAGGGCCCACGCACATGCTGCAAAAACCAGCTCCCCCCTGCTCACAGCTCACTGAGCCACACAATGCCCCCAAATACATGGCGGCACTGAACCTGGTCTTAATTGTGGTTCAAACATTCAGAGTGTTAATTTTTGTTTTGTTTCTATACATTCTTAAAGCAGTGGGAGGGACTTAGTGCATTTTTCCAATTTGATTAAATACACAACTGCTTGTTAAGTTGTTATTAAATAATTGCATGAATGTAAATACAGAAACCAACATTCACTTGGCACCTATCTGTGCCACCTTAACCTCTATTGACCTGTCTGTACTGACTTGTCTCTGTGATGAGTGTATATTCAATATCTTTCAGTTATCCTGGCTGAATTGGTTTTGCCTCTATTTAAGTCTCTATTGACCTGATTCTATACTAACAATCTCCCCATTAAGCTGTTTCCTGGTGTTCTGAGTGTGCTGTATATTTGTGTCCTGTTTGTACGTGTTTGTCTCTCTGTCATCCTAGCAGTTCTGACTCTGTTTTGTAATGACTGTTGTGTTTATTGTCTCTTGGTTGTCCTGATTATATTCATTGTCTCATTTTTGTTCCAGTTATATCAGTGTTTTTTAAGTTGTTCCCATTGTATTCTGGTTGTATGGATAGCCTGTCTGTTGGCTTGGTTATGTTCCCTTTCACTCTGCAGTCTTAGCAGTGCTGACTCTATCCTTGTTGTTCTGGTTGTACTGGCTGACTCTCTGTTGTCATTCAGTCCATCTACCGGCTGAAAAAAGCATGTCATGGAGAGCTTGACGAGGAGTGCAACCTGCTCACACCGGAGCAGGTGGTGGACAGGATATTCGAACTTGTGGATGAGAATGGAGATGGTGAGGGAGACCTGCTTGCTGTTCATGGAATACAGAGATAGGTCATATCTGTTATTTATGTAAACCAGCATATTCCTATCATAGGGCATAAACCCAGGCTGTAGATGAGACAATGTAAAACTGGAAAGACTCTGTCCCCCAGGAAGACTGTGCTGTCCCACCCCACTCTCCAGGTGAACTGTCTTTGGATGAGTTCATTGATGGTGCACGGCGGGACAAGTGGGTGATGAAGATGCTGCAGATGGATGTGAACCCTGGGGACTGGATCAGTGAGCACCAGCGTCGGAGTTCCAACTTCTGAACCCTCACTTCATCTCTCCCACCTTCTCCTCTAAGATGTCAAAGTTATGTCAAATATGTAATGTTCCTTTAGAAAATATTTCTTTAGCTGCACTAGCTAAAAACATCACAAACAGCAATTCCACCAGTAATTGTACATATTTAATGGCTTCCTTTTAAGACAGCAAAATGATCATCTTATAGTTCCATGACTATCCTGGGTCAGCCGTTGGAAGTCAGACAGATAGATCTTATTGTATTATTATTCCACTCACCTTCAAGTAATTAAGTAATTAATTCCACCTGCTTATCCGGTACAGGGTTGTGGAGAGCCTGGAGTTTATTCCAGGAAGCAACAAGTAATGGCAGGACACACCAGGGATGGGATGCCAATTCTTGTAGGGAAAATGCATTAAGGGAAATTTAGAGATACTAATTCAGTCAACATCAACATTGAAATATCATGTAAATTCACACCATGCTCAAAGTGTCCGGCAGCCCTATAAGCAGATACTGTACTGATGCATACTGCTGTAGGCAGAGTGGTTGGTCATTAAGCCTACATTCATACTAACAGACACTTGCCTGGTATCGGTCCTGGGTTCTTGTCTGTAAATATTAGTGGGATGTTAATCAATAATAATAGGAACTATGGCACATATTTGCATCTGTGTTTTAAGTTGTATTTATTATTTTTTTTATTATTTCTTATTTTTGTCCAAATAATTTAATCTGATTATCAGGTCTGATCTGATCTGATGTTATTAATAAAGATTAAGTACAAACCATCTGAGATTTTCCTGTAGTTTATGGGTTGTAGTTGTAGGAATGTCAGAAAGTGTAGAGATTATCCTGCCCTTAATATGTTTGTGTTGCTTGTTGTTATATCTGTAAAATGCATATGCATTTTTAATAAATAAGACTCTGTATTATTTTTTCTTTAAATGTGTATGCTTGCAAGTCAAAGCTTCCTGAGGCTAATTTTAAGTGACAGGGAAAGACCTTGTAGACTACTTTAGCTGCATTGCCTAAGAATTCTTCAATATTTTTTTTGCATGATGAAGACACCTAAATAATTTGGAGTGATGCTCTAAGCATGACGAAGTATTAATAATGTTTGCCTTAAAACATCAGGCTGAGTCAGCACGTTACATCGGAGGACGGATTTTAAGATTCTGCGCCTGATCATGTCCAGCAGAACCTCCGGTAGGCGGCGTTCTCCTTTCCGGCCCGGCAGGCTGGCGGCGGAGTGCCTTCTTTACACAGGCGCCCGTCTCAGCACATTGTCCTGGATCAGCTGTGCATGGATCTGAAACCCCACCCAATGAGGAAGGGCAAGTTACAGGGAAAGAGACTGACGGTGAAGATACTGGGTGCCGTGATAAACCGGGGAGTGATTTAACAGTTGAGGGGAAAAAATACATTAGGTTTGCACATAACGTGCAACGATTTTTTTTTATTGATAAATCAGGCACCATATTAGGTGGACCTGCATCGTCTATTAATCCAGAAACGCGAAGGTAGCTGTTAACTGCCCGTTGACATTTAAGGCAGGTTCCACCGAGCCGCTTTTCCGAGATGATCGCGTTGTTTAACAAGCTGCTGGACTGGTTCAAAGCGCTCTTTTGGAAGGAGGAGATGGAGCTCACGCTGGTGGGGTTGCAGTATTCGGGGAAGACCACCTTCGTCAACGTGATTGCGGTAATCCATCCTCTGTTTGTTCATTTTTTCGCCCCGTCGCCTTTCAGGTGGTGTCCGTGATTGGCGCCGTGACCCGTAAATTGCCCGATGACGCTCAGATGCTCGGTCATGGCCGCGTAGTGGCCCGCTGGTACTCGGGAGCACCAGTCCACACTCACGCCGGCTTGTCAACTTGTGCTTGGGTACTACTAGTATTTTTTTTGTTCCTTTCTGCCGATGAGCCACGGAGGCTGAGTTGTGCCCGCTGCTTCGGGACGGGGAGTCCCCCGGCAGCGCTGCGGCTGGCCGCATCCCGAGCCCAACACGTACCGGTCAGCGGTGACCGCATTTTCCGTAAATGATGCTCGGCTCAAAGCCTCCCTCTCACCTCTCTAGCTTAACATTAGATGCCCGCTGTGTTTTCATACTTTAATCTAAACCCATAAAAATGATATTAGTGTGGACGATGTTCATGTGAGTGCTTTAATTTTAAATACATGGTGGCAAAAATCCACCGCGCATATATTAAAAATTCAAACGTAAAACGTGTATTGAGATGGTACTCATTTGACTTGACTGTTGTAAATGTCTGGGAGAAGAATATAGGATTGTACACGTGTAGACTGCTTGGTAACTATGATAAGACCGATTGTTCCTCCTACTGATAATTTGTTAACACTGGAATGGAGTGACTATTGGTTTTGATGACTCTGTAGTCAGATGTGGAGGATGGATTCAGAGAAGAGTGAATGTCACCCAGCTGTCTCCTTGTCAGTCTCCTGGTGCCGATGAAAAGTGCTGAATTTCAAATAGACATATGCCTTGTTTAAGTGGTTTATAAATAAACCTTTGGCTACTTAGACATGGCACTTTTGCATCCATCACCCTATTCCAGTCTCATCCAGGGGCAGTTTATCCTCCTGCGTTCAAGAAGCAGCAGGATGCGGCCTTTCCTGTATTGAGCAGCTGGGGTGGGGTGGGGTGGGGTGGGGGCGGCTTTTAACGACTGCATCTGTGACACAGTGTGTGGTGGTGCTAGGATGAATTTGAGCACATCATCTTAGTTCAGTGGTTAAGGCCTGCTGAAATACAGGGTCCTCTAATCCTTGTAAGAGATCCCCTGGATTATTAGGAACACAGAGGCACCAATGGCTGAGTTCTATTCCTCTGCCTGAGCAGAATAGGGGAGTAGTGCCATCTTTTTTTGTATGGGGGCTACAGAGGTCTGTTTCTGTGTTTCTGTGTTTGTGTTTGTGTGTGCGTGTGCGTGTGCGTGTGTGTGTGTGTGTGTGTGCGTGTGTGTGTGTGTGTGTGTGTGTGTGTGCTGCTGCACAAGGCACTGCCAGGAGTGTAAGTGAAGCATCACCATGCCAAACTGGAGTCAGTTGGTTGCACCCCTTCTGGCATTCAGCCACTTGCTGTTCAGAGTGATTTAGTCATTAAAGCAAAAAAGCATAATGAGAGAGCAATTTAACCTGTCTTTTTCATTTAGGTATCTGGTCTTTTGAAGAATGGGAGAGAAAAGATGGTGCCACCTAGTGGATGATATTAAGTATACTTTTCATTGCATGTTATGAGTGTGTTACAAGGTTGTTTCAGGACTAGGTTTTAGTTTCTCGCTGTGACCTTGTGCCAAAGGTGTTGCTCTTTGTGGTTAAGGCTTGTGAGACTGGAGCTGGAGCTTACATGGTTACTGAGCAGTCAGGTTGGTGTTTGTGTGAATAAAGGCACCTTAGTCCCATTGACAGTCAGTTCTCCAAATGTAGCAAGCCAGACGTTTGATACAGGTGATTGTTACATTTTTAACTGCCTGAGAAATGTGCTTGTTCTTAACAGCTGAGTTACACTAGTATAGTAACAGTTTATGTTTTATGATGCAGTTAAAGTCTAGTGACTTAAGGACATGGGTTCTCTTGAAACTTACACCTACATTGTTCTAGTTTGTAAATAATTTCTGTGTTCAGGAGTTCGTCCTTCATGTTTCTTCTGTATTGTCCACTTCAATTCACCATGGTAACTAGGAGACTTACTGTGTCATATGAGGACCCAAACCTACTTCCAAGGTTGGATAGGGTGAAACTTAATTAGGCGTCTTGGTGTTAGAAATCTGGGTTGTGTCTTTGAATAAAAGACAATTGTTGCTGTCTGAGGTCTGATGCCTTTGTTCTTGGAGAGCTTTACACAGCCAAGGTACTTTCAAAACATAGGAGGTTAAATATACTGAAATGTATGTCAGCATCAGATGCACAAGTTGGATTTCCACTCATCATTTACTTGCATTTAATTTCATGTGCTTGATATTTTCCCATTGTTGTTTATGACATGGAGCCACAGAAATATGCATTTTTATTTGATTTATGAAGAGGCCGATCAAAAATTAAATCATCACATCACAAAGAATAGTTTTCAATTTTCTCTTCATATTCACAGAGTGATTCATCTCCAGGTTTTGGGGACGTTGCCTGGCGTGAGTTGAGACCCAGTTGGGGTGTTGATGTCTGTTGTGTTCTTCATTCTTCATCTCCTGTATGCACCATGGAGGTTATGATTTGTTTTCCAGGCTAAACAGATTCTCTGGGGGGGTGTAAGCTTTATTTCTGGGCAGAAATGACCAATAACTGTTTTAATTCAAAATATTTGTACACATTTAGCCACACATGTGAATATTTGTAAACCCCCCACTGTTTTACCCTTGATAAGCTGAGTGCTCTGAACCACGCTCCCCCTCCCTTTCTGTCACTCTGTCCTGTAGTCTGGCCAGTTCAGTGAAGACATGATCCCCACAGTGGGATTCAACATGAGGAAGATCACCAAGGGAAACGTCACCATCAAGGTCAGGTTGTCAAGGAGACCGGGGACAGCTCTTAGTTGGACTGTGCCCAGTACAGTAATGTTGGGCACAGTTATGGGCGATTCTCTACCATTGTATGGTATAAGAAGATTAAACAAGAAATAGAACAGAGTAGAAAAAAGACAGTTTTACAGTTTCTCAGCAGCCAAAGGCCCTAACGGGGGTTCAGTCTGCTCTCTCAGGGTGCTAAACTTAACCATAAAGCTGTCTTCTCTGCAGTTATGGGACATCGGGGGCCAGCCTCGCTTCAGGAGCATGTGGGAGCGGTACTGTCGAGGAGTGAGCGCCATCGTGTGAGTACCAAAGAAGGGCCTTCAGTCTCTCTCTCATTTTCCTCATAGTAACCCCATAGTAAACCCATAGTAAACCCATAGTAAACCTAGGAGCTACTGGGTGAGTCAGGAAAGGCTCCTGGTGCCATCTGAGAAGTCATCTGTCATCGGAGGAGCTGGGCAGCGGAAGCCGTGCCCTGATATTCTTGCTGTCCTCAG